TTTTTTTTTTTTTTAAATTTATTTTGAACAGATATTGCAGATGCAGATTTCACTTGTTCATTCCCTAATTCAGAAGAGCTTGGATTTTCAATACAAGAACCAGGTAAATCCCTTTTTAAACAATTTTTTATACCCCCACTCTTATTTTATTTTATATTACTTTTTTAGAATAGCCAATTGCTTTATATATACACACACACACATATATATATATATATATATATTTAAAAAAAAGTATTCTTCAACAGATCTTGCAGATGCAGGCTTCACCCCTAATTCAGATGTGCTTAGATTTTCAAAATCTGACCCAGGTAAAACATACTTTTCCCTCTTTACTAGCTCTCTCTGTTTCATTGTAAGAATTATAGATTTGTTGGAATTGGCACTGAACTGTGTAACCCCTCTTTTAAGTCAACCAAAAAACTTTTCCTAGACTTGCTACATTTTTTTTTTTTTGGCTGCATTATGGACTTGCTACATTTGAAACACATTATCCTCTTCAGCTATTATCAATAGACATGTTTTATTTATTTATTTCATGAAATCCTCTATTCTTAAATTTTTGATCTACGAATAATTATGAGTTTTTTTTTTTTTTTTTTTTTCTCAGGTTGCGACTCTCAAGGAGCAGAAGATCCTCCACTGAAATGTAATTCTTGCTAACGAAAGTGAAGAGAGAAACCAAATATCCACTCCTTTATATTATGTAGATGTAGATATACACGGGTTCTCCAATCATCAAGCTTGGTCCCTTTTTTAAGCAAACGATTAATAACTGTAAATTTAGACTTTTTTTCGGTGGATTATAAATTTAGAATTTTACCTATATCAGTGATCTTTAATTTCATAGTCCATACTAGTTTATTCAGTCTGTTGCTATTTATTTAATTTCGCTTTTAGGTCCCAAAAAAAAAAAGTATTAAACCAACACTATCACATTTTCATGAGCAGTCTAACTAGTAACCTTCAAACAAAAATGATAAAGCCTCGTGCTTTTTATTTATTAGCTTAAAAAGATTATTAAGACAAAAAGACCCCAAATGACACCTACAACATGGTCAACAGATCAAGAATACACATGGGATGTGTCCCGGAAAGAAACAGATGAGTCATTTTAGAGACAAACAAAAGAATGAACAATAGCCAGCTTTTCCAAAAGAGGCAAATCAGCCATTTTGCATGTGTGGACTAGTTCGATTATTCACTCTGTGTTTCTAAAATCTACAGATGCCATTTTTTTTTTTTCCTGTTCCTTTTTCTTTTTTATTTTTTCACTCGTCTTGGGGACTGGATGCAACTGCTTTGTCGCGGTGGAACCTTACCACAATGCATGTTATATTGTCTGCGCTGCCACGAGTGAAAGCGACTTCCGTTAACTTTCGGGCTGACACCTCGGGTTCTTCTTCTTCGCGAGCAAGTGAAACAGCATCCTGACACCAAACATGAACAGATATTCAATTAACACGCCCAAAATGAAAGTTACGAAATTTCATTGCAATCTCATTGACGAGCGGTTTTGGGTTGCAATTCGATTAGTTCTCTCGATTTTCCTGAGTATTATCTGCTACGATGTGTTCACTTGACATCCAAATGCGTGTTGTGTAGTAAAACCAAACCTAGACCATTTTTTCTGCATTTTTCTTTCTTGAAGCCCTGATTGTGAGGGGACTGTAGAATAATACATCCACAAGTGGGCTCGGGGGATCTCTGGGTATCAAAAAAAAAAAAAAAAAATCCACAAGTCAACTTGTTGACTGTCCTCCATCTCTAAGATGATGTTTCTTAAATAGGTTCAATTTTCATTTTTCCTAATGACACTGACTATACAGTCCAAGCTATTTATGGTTTCGGTGATCTATTCTTGCTATGTCAGGTAAGTAAAAAGAAAAGGGAAAGGGGCAACCCAGCGCCTAAACTACCAGGTGGACCTCTTAGAGCATGTTTTCTTTAGGAGGATCGGATATGATTTGTAATAACAGTTTTTCCCTGGGTTATGGTAGTAGGGAAATAGATTGCCAGTAATAACTACTGTATGCGCCAGCGACGCATGTCAATGTATGCATGTGGCTGAAAAGGAAGAAGAGAAGAGGGAGAGAAGGAGCAGCCTTACCTCATTGGGTACCACATCCCATAGCCCATCACTGGCAAGCACAAGCAATTCAAATTCTTCATCTATCTCTAGATCCTGAGAAGACCAGAAGCATTAATTAGCTTGGTTGCAATCCATGACAATAAATTCAGCAGTACTTGTCGTATAGATTAAAGGATAAATTACTCATTCCAACAAGAAATTTCAGCAATAACCTGGATCTCTGGTTCTGCGACAACAAATTGCTTAAGCATGCGGTTGCCAAAAGCCCGAGACATGGCTAGCACACCTCCTACCCTCCAAGTACCTGAAAGTATAACCCCAAAACCCTAATCATACCAGTGGAGATTTATCAAAATTGCTTCATCCTAATTCGCTACAATTGACCAATGGCCAGACATTTTTATTGTGCAACCGTGAGAAAATCATTAGGCATAACTATAATGCAATGAAGGTCATGTTTCCACAAATTAATCAGAAGGGAAACAAATGATAACAGAAGGATCAAAACCATTTGAAAAGATTCTCTGTCAACCGCCACCTCTCCAGAAGCCATGAATAGTTAAATAGTTTAAAAGAACGATCAAGCTTTCCAACAAATAATAGAGAAGAGATCAAGTTTGAGATTGGTAGGACACTATAGAACAGCCTAACTTTAATTAAACCATTCTCTGTGCTTGATTTTATTACCTAGAGCATTAATTTAGTTACAAATGAGAGAAAATGCTATGAGCAATGATTATCTTTCAACTTAGTAATGCACATAGAGACATATAGTTTTATTAGCTTCTGTTAAACATGGGATGTACCTGCCCACATTATCACACCACCTGCGCTTTCAATTCTCTTCCTCTCATCACTTCGATTTGGTTTATGATCTTCGGAGAGAGGTATTGCTGCCCAAAGAGAAAAGCAACTGCTTAGAGAAATCCATCCGATAGTCCCATATCTCTAATTTTAAATTCACAATATTAGGATGTTGAATCTCTTATCTACATGCTTATTCATATGTATTCAGTGTACAGTAATTCAACACGGTTCAATAATATTTTGTTTATACCTGTCCCATCCTTTGATATTATCGTACGAGAATCTCCAACATTAGCAACATATAGATGATTACCAACTAAGACTGCAGTCGAAGCAGTAGAACCATCATCACGATAAGTATCTTTTTCGGCCTCCAAAAAATCAGAATCAGTCTGCTTGTACGATTCACCTGCAAGTTTAACTAAGTTAGAAGATAATAACAGAAGCCTATGTCGCAGGGTAAACAGGACCTCATGCAGGATCCCACACCTTAATAGCAGTATAGATAGACTTAAAAGCGTTCTATGTGGTTCAGCTTGTCCAAAACAAACAGATATTTGATTTAACATTTCAATCGTATGGGATCCTGCATCAGAAAAAAGGCTATGCTACGATCACGTCACACTGCTATTTCACAGTATTTGGTGCACAAAAAGAAGTAATCAAGGAAATGAAACATACTAATAGCCAATTTGGTATCTGTCAAAAATTGTGGATGATTCATGAGATTCAAAAAGAGATGCTCTTTTAAATATTCAGCAGCATGGGATCCACCATGTCCTGAGAGAAAAGATCATCAATTATTCTACTCATACAAAAGTAAATCAGCTTCAGGGTGAAGGAAAAATCACTAGCCTATATCCTAAGAATGGATCCTGAAAGGCTGAAATATTGAACTAGAGCCTCATAAATGTGCGACAAATGAATTTCATAATATAAAAACAAACCATCAAATATTCCAAATAAGCAGACCGTTTGGCCATCAATCTTGGCCGTTTTAATATCATAGAAATCCTCCATAGTCATTCTCTTCCCTCTGAAACTTGAGTACCCCCAGCTCAATTTTCCATCTTCACTGTCAACAAAACGAGGAAAGAAGACAACTGTAATCCATAATGAAATGAAACCGCAGTGGAAATGGATAACAGACCAAAGAAAAATATATTAATTTCAAGGGACAATCGAACCTCAGATTTGGGCTAGAGAAAAGAACGCATTACCACGGAAAGAAGAGAGGAAGAAAAAGTATAGAAACTCTTCAGACCCTCTAGCTTTATTCTAACAACGTATTGAGGTATTGAGATCTTGACGGCATAAAAATTGGATCCAGGATTAGATACAGAAACATTCTATTTTAAGCTTGTTTAGTAAATGAAGTCTTACGAATAAAAAATATAAGTATCTAGTGAAAACTTAAAATTGCCTGAATTCATAAAAGAAATTCAATGTAACATTTCAGGCAAAGCTTATACAAGACATCGACACATAGACATTCGTCTAGGGCATTAAACTCTGCACACAATGAGTGTAAAAATATTACCCTCCATTTCCATATGAACAAGCAATATATTCAAAATAAATATGAGAAGAAGTCATTTTAACCTTTTCCATCCTCCACTGGAATATCCGCTTCCTTCTTCGTCTTTCTCTGGGAATGCATCAACAGTAGGCCCCTGTTTCTCCGTTGCGCCTGTATCAACCATCATCCTCAAACTCATTTTAAATTCACGATTCCACCAATTCGTTAAGCTGAGACCTGCATTAAAGTTCTTCCCAGTATTGCTCAATTGCACCGCCTTTCGCGTAAATGCTCTGATTTGTCCAGCTTGAACAATCACATTCCTTAAGCAACTTTTGCATACCATCTAAGTGGTCCAACCCGGCCTTCAAAGCCAGATATTTGGTAATTAACTGGCCAACAACCACGTAAATATTACCATTACTAAACTACTTAAAAATTTAAAGTGTCCTAAAGTGATAATCATGAGGAACTAACAAAGCTTTAAGTTTCACTATCCAATTTTTACCCTCTCCGTGCACATAATAATGAAAATTCATCACCTTCACAATCAAATAGGCCATTAAACACAAGATTGGAAGTTTGGAACTTTATCACTCGCAATTTCAGAAATGAGAAAAAAGACTTGCTAGTCGCTATCAAGATATCATTATATACTTTTCAAATAATATATTAAACAAAAATAAATGAGGAGTGAAACGAGACGGAATCCGACGATTCACAAAGGACGTACTCATCTCTCCAAAAAAAAAAAAATATTATTTCCACTAATCATACATTGATCCTGAGTTTATCTGAAAGCCCAAAAAAAACACACATAAAAATCCACACTTCCTTTTTCGCTTTCAACGCAATTTCCTTAACTTTCTCCCAAACAAATCAGGTGGAAAAAACAAGAATCAATCAAATAAGTTCTATATACACACAAAATGGATCACAAAATGGAATTAGATCATTTTTTTGACTAAATTAAGGCTAAACAGGATCATTACTACAAATTTGTCGCTCAGAATCTTCGATTCGGAGCTCCAAATCCAAACAACTGTCGGATAAGATCGAATATACCGAGTGATGCGATCTGGTCGTGGCTCGTTAAAGTGCAAACATTCGAATCTGAAGATGAGAAAAAGTTGCTCCAATCAACTCCCACATACGCGCACAAAAATGTACGAATCGTACACTGAAATACTTTCTCTTTCTAGAAATTGAGAGAATCTGAAACCCTAATCATGGTTAGATAGAGAGCAGGAGGAGGAGAAGGGAAAATGGCGAAATGTTGTAGCTTTGGCACCGAAGAGCGCTGGCAACGTGTCACTCATCATGCATCTCCTGCTTTGCAATGTTATCTTCTGTTTCCAACTTCACAATACCTTTTGACTGTCCAATCAAAGTTTACCACGTTTTTGTATTCCCGGTCTCGTTTTGGTCCTTTGGAGGTCCACCTAGTATACACGTTCGCCTATTATTGCTGGTTTTTGTTTTTGTTTTTGTTTTTGTTTTTGTTTATGTTTATGGGAAAGAAAAAAAACCCTTTTTTTTATATATTTTATTTGAATGATTAAAAGAGAGATTTTCACTTTGTTTACTTCTAGAAGCAATAATGGGAACCGTTTGTTTGGTAGTTTGTTAACTTAAGCAAATAAAAAGCCTTCAAAACCACTTAAAAAAAAAGCCTTCAAAACCATAGAGAAAAGATATTCTTTCTACTTTTGAATGAAAAGGAGGATTATTCTTTTTAGTTTCAAATAAAAACCATAGAGTTAATGGTAATTCCACACACTTTAGGTCTATTTTGACCCTAATGCAAATAAAAAAAGTACCATTTTCACCCTTGCAACACGACGTGTCAACTTTGATTCAAAGAAAAGCAACACTTAAGGTGTGTTTGGTTGAAGTGGGGGAATGATAATAGAAATAGAAATGATAATGATAATGAAATATAATGGAAAGAAAAGATAATTCATTTATTTAGTTCTACTTTTACAAATGCAATAGAATGGGATATGAATATTTTCATGTTGACAAAATTATCTCTCATGTTAATATAACTAATATAATATATATTAGTATAATCATTTAATAACTAATATTATATATATAAAATTATAAAGATATAATATATATAATTATATTTATAGTTATATAATTATTTATTATTATAATACAATCTAATATATAATATAAAATGATATATAATATAATAAAATAATGATATTGTGATTATTTTATATTATAATGTTACAACTATACTATATTATATTATTAGAAATATAGTATAATTATAAAATGTAATAATATAATATAACATATTATAATTAATATAATATAGCATATTATAATTAATATATATAACATATTATAATTATAATATATAATATAGTATATTATCATTTCTAATTATAGTATATTATCTATTATAATATAAATTTATATTGTAATTATATAAATACTTAATTATAATATTATAAAATATAACAACTATATTATATTATAGTATATTATAATGATAAATATAATTATAATAAGTATTATTAATTACAACATCACAATTGTATATTATATTATATTATCTTATAATGATAAATATAATTATTATTAATTACAATATCACAATTATATTGTATATTATATTAATAAATATAATTACAATGTATAATACGTAATATAAGATATTATTATAATATTAAATATGATATAATATACGTATATAATTATATTATATTATATAAATTATTATAATATAATATTAATTATATTATAAATATTAATATAATAATTATAATATTCAAGGATAATGATGGAAAAGAAAATTAAAAGAGTTTAGAATGGACATTCCTCTCATATGAGGAATGAATGATGATTCACCCATTTGATGAAAAAGTCATTCCATTTTGAATGACCATTCATTTTCCTAAAACCAACTAAATATGAGAATAAACCTTGATTCATTTCCATTCTTTTCTATTCCCCCTAACCAAACTCACTCTTAGAGAAAACGCCATGTTGTTTATCGAAGTTTATATGTTGTGACTTGTGTCTAACTCCATATAGATTACTGAAATTTGTTGGGTTGGCAAATGTACATTTTCTTGGGATCAACCTAACCTAGCTTGCACTTCTAAAAAAAAAAAAAAAAAAAAAAAAACCTAACCCTGCATCTCTACCTACATGTTTTCTTCTTGCTGTTATTTTTGTCGAGAAAAGTAGGAAATTTGTCTCATTCAATTAATTTTTCAGTTTTGCGTCATTTTTAAAATTTTCCCCCTGTTAAGTTAATAATAAAAAAAAAGGTAATAGCAAAAATATTATATAATAGTTCCATAAAAAATATATATTATATAATAGTGATTTAAAAAGACATAAATCTTTATTCCTCTCTAGTGAGAGGGTTCACCCAGATTTCTCAATTTTGTAATCCCAAGTCGTGATACGAGGTGATAAAAGGGTAAAACGTGGTATTTTTTATGATAAAAACAAAACGAAAATGAAAAAAAAAAGGCGTAAACAATAATTAACAAAACTTGACAAACGACATTAAAGGCGAGAACGACAACAAAAACATCAAACGAAGCGGCTATAATATTAAAAAACGACAATTGCTTCAATAAACAAAGATGAAAACCAACACTCTACCAGTGTCACTAATAAAAAAAAATTGTGGTTTTAGGATGGGTAATTGGTATATCTTCGTAATTTTAATAAAAACAAATATATCGCTTGATTAGCAAAAAACAAATATATCGCTTATCCTAGATGTCATGAATGGGTAATTGACATATCGTAGTAATTTTATTAAAAACAATACATATCGTACTAATTTTATTAATATCGTTTATTCTAGATATCATTTTCATGGAAAGTAAATAATTAGATTCGTTGATCTATAAAATAAAATCCTATTGGCCTACAGGGGCATAGGGTCTTTTTGAGTCGCAAATTTTACAAATTCACTTCTTTTTTTTTAGTTGATCCTCCCTATAAAAGAACTTCAATGATCGATCGTCTGTTTGCCTTTAAAAAAGTCAATAGTTTGTTTATTTTAAAACATTTAATTACTTTTTCAGAAGGTCTTATATTAAATTCAATATATATAAACTTTACCCAACTTCCGTGACAAAAAAAAAAAAAAAAAAAAACTCCTATTAAAAAATATACACCATATCATGTAACACAATTAAATAAGATATAAACGTGATAAGAATACGACCGTTTAAGAATATTCATTAACTGATATACTATTACCAAACTTTTATTATAGTAAATAATAATATTTTTTCAGTCAAACGAGAATATTTTAGAGGGAAAGAATAATTGACTCGAGTTGTTTGACAACAAAATGACTAAAGTATTTATCAATATTAATTTGTGTACCGCATTGTTTTTCAAGCTACGGCACAATACAAATACTAAACATAACGGGTGCGTTTGGAATTAGTTTCAAAATATTTTTATTTTTTGTATAAAAATAAAAACGAAAACGTTTTTATTTTTATTTTTGAATCATTTTTAAAAATGCGTTTGGTAATTTTATTTTGAGATTATTTTCAGTTTAAAAAAACTGAAATTGTGTTTGGTAGTTTAATTTTTACGCAGATGGCAAATGGTCACAGAGCTGAAGAGAGAAAACGAAAAGGGAAATAAATCGTTTTCAGATTTTTAGATAAGGATAAGATCGTTTTTGTTTTTAAGTTTTGGAAAATTTTACGCCAAACGCATTTTTATTTTTCGTTCTAAAAAATTGTGAAAAATGGAAACGGAAACAAACAGGCCCAACATTTTATAAATGCACTAATAGTCAAACCAAATTTTAATAACCAATACAATTGCTACAAGCACTAATTTCCAACCAAAAAGTAAAGAACCATGAAAAGAAATACACCCGTTTAGTTCGTTGATTTAAATTTTTAATTCGAGTTGAGATGTGACTTTATGTGAGGAATTTTTACTGTAACAAAAAACTTAGATGTGACTGTTTTTAAAAATTTTTTACCGTAACAAAACTCGAATTAGTGAAATTAACGGGGCCACAAATTACTCAAAAGTCTATAATTTTGAATGCTAATGATTAATGAAAACTGTTCAACATAAAAATGAGCTTTTTATGATAAGATTATTTATATTGATAATGCATGTTTCTCAACATTAAATACAATTAGAGTCATGTTAAAATAACATAATTTTAAAAGTAAAGTCTCGTTCATTTCACTGATTTAAATTTTGTTATAATAAAAGCTATCAGATTACATCTTTTTTGTTACAGTAAAATAAATTTTATATAAAATTATATCTTAACTCAAATTAAAATTTTAAATTAATAAACTAAACGAGTCCTAAATATATAACGAGAAGGTTGAGGCAGAAGTCGTCCGTGACAAGTAGTGGGGGTCAATAAATAAAAGGAAATTAAAGGCTTGCCTTTTTTGACTTGTGCAATTCATTGCGTTTACTTTCTACTTTCTACTTTATTTATTTATTTATTTTATTTTTAAAATACAGTTCTCCCGTGCTGCTTGCTCCCACCCCGCAATTCTCATGTCTGCGTACTAACCCATCATAAGGTCCGGTATTACTCCAGTAATTACTTTGATTATTATAAGATATTTAAAATAAAATCTAAAAAATACAATATATTTGAAGAATTTGTTTATATAGTTTGCAAATGTCTTATTTGTGTGACGCCGAATAATTTATTTATATGGTTTGCAAAATATTTTATTTTAGTCTAGAAAATTGGTTTTACAAATTTTGATGAGGGGGAATTTGAATTTATAATCTTAATATTTAAAATTTATGTGTGATTATTGTTAGGGTGAGATTTTTTTTAAAAAAATTCTTTTATATACTGTGTTTTTTTTTTAAATTGGTTGTTAGGTTAGACCATTTTTTTTTTTTGGAAGGGGGTTGTTAGGTTAGGACTTGACTAAATCTTACTTTTTTTTTTGTTATTTTCAATTTTCTTATTCTACAAAATAGGAAAGATGATTATTTTACAATTTGTTTGAAAGAAAAAGAATTATATTCCATGCCATGCCTCAACTCTTATTTGGTATTGATGTATTTTTTTTCTGAACTAACTCTTTTTTTTTTTTTTCTGAGAAGTACTAATTAATCTTCTTTTTAAGGAGTACCAATATAATTTTTCTTTTGATATTTTGAATTTTTTTGAATTTTTTTAAAAGGGAAATTGGTTATTTTTGTTGATTTTGATTCGTCAGAGTACGCATCGCAAAGTAAGCAACCGCAGAGGAACTGTTCGGCAAGCAAATTGCTTGATGAGTGGGACCCAGACCCACAAGAATTTCTTGGCTCCATCCCCAACCCCAACTGCACTGCGCACTGTTGGGTGTTGGATTGGACTCATCTCTGTTTTTCTCTCTCTTTAATTTAATCAGAGAGATAAAGCCGACTCATATTATCGACCCCGCTCTCCATTTCCGCGAACTTTCTCTCTCCCTCACTCTCTCTCTCTCTCTCTCTCCTCTCTCTCTCTCTAAGTCATCGAACAACAAGTACAAAAAATCTAATCTTCCTTCATTTGATAGCCAGCCAAGCCCCATGGGAGCCTCCACCATGGACAACCTGGTTCTCTCCTCACTCTGATTTCCTTCCTTGGTCTGTTTTCTCTCTCTCTCTCTCTCTCTCCTTGATTTTTTTTTTCGAAAATATATACAGGTTATTGAAGTTTTGAAAGTATGTATTTTTTTTTCCAATAAAACAAACAAGGTTTGATTTTGAAATCTTCCGAAAATTTTGGGGGAAAATGTTTTATTTTTCTCAAGTTTGGTTCTTTTCTGGAAAAATTGAATTAGAAAGGGCTGTTTCTGTTTGTTTAACACGTGCAACTTTTCCCCCATTTTTGGTGGATGGGGTTTTCCCTTTCTGTGCTTCTACGATTCTCTTGTGCTTCTGGTTTCAGTGTAATCGATAAATGTACGGCAAAAGTGCCAAAAATATGCTTTAATTACAAAATCCCCTGTTAAGTTTGCCTAATAATACGTGCCAGGAGTTGCTTTACAGTGAGTTTTTTTTTTTGTTGTTTCTAATCTGTACAAATTGGTAATTATACGGCGAAACCAAATTTGCTAATATGAAGTTGTCCTTTTCCTTCAATTATCTTTTCAGGGTTTGACTTTTGGAACTTTCTGGTGAATGAAGAAGTTACTTGGGCTTATCATTTCATTGAGAGTTTGACTTCTGTTTAGAATATTGCGTTGGAGACAATCTATAGCCATGAATTTCCAGCAAGAGAAATTAGTGAGGTTAGTTTCTACAGTACTATATGCCTTACTTTTTGTAATGGTTCATAGTTATAGCATTAAGAAAAATGTTTAAGAAGAGGTTTTTGTGTTTACGGGTGTTTAGAAAGTTCTCAAAAATTGAGTGATGGAGCAAAACGCCCTTTTTTCGGTTTTCGCCTTGTCTGTACATACCCGTTCTTGTTCTATTCGCGCCATTGAGACACAACAATTACCACCACAATTTTATGGATACTAAAGTTTGTCTGTGGGACCAATTTGGTGCTGGAAGCGTGTCTCATGAACTGAACATTGACTGATTTCGTATAAATACTTTGTGTAACTTTCAGGTTTCAGGATTGGAATTTGGAGAAAAATGCTGATGTGCTGTATGCTCCAGACGATGGCATTCACCCGGGAAAAATTAAAATGACAATAAACTCGGTTTCACACAAGTTTCAAAGAGGCTTTGAGTCTGGTTCTGAAAGGATTAAAAGGATTAGACGATCATTTAAATCATGTTCATTCGATAATGCTATGGCTAAGGGCTTTTTCTCCCAGAAGAAGATTCTTGATCCGCAAGGGCCATTCCTTCAAAGGTGGAATAAGATATTTGTGCTGTCATGTTTCATTGCAGTCTCTCTGGATCCTCTGTTCTTTTATGTGCCGGTGATTAATGATGAGGAAAAGTGTCTAGACTTGGACAGGAAGATGGAGATCACTGCTAGTGTTTTGCGTTCATTCACAGACATATTTTACGTACTTCATATTATTTTTCAATTCCGTACTGGATTTATTGCTCCCTCTTCTCGAGTATTTGGAAGAGGTGTTTTAATTGAAGATTCTTGGGCTATTGCTAAGAGATATCTGTCATCGAACTTTCTGATAGACATTCTCGCAGTCCTTCCACTCCCACAGGTGAAGGTCACTGATAACCAATGAGTTTACTTGCTTATTCGGGTTACTTCTGCTAAGTGCTATGCTTGTACTATGCATTGGATTAAACTCATTCATTGTGGTTCTGGGTTGGAGCTTCATAACGGCCACTATAAGCTATATACTCATTTTTTGTTTTTCCCTTATCGGTAGTACATAAAAGAGATCTTTTTCCACCATTTTTTGTTAGCATAAGAGATCAATGGTCACATTTTTTCCTGTTCCTCGGGCATGTAATATGTATTGTGGCAGTAATTGGCGTGGTATCTAATATTGTCACGTCTCTTGCCACATTATTTTGAACTTCTTATTTAGTTACAATGTTTATCTATAAGTTTGTTCTACTCTGGTGTTCTGATTTTCTTTTTTATGCCTAGGTGGTGATTTTAATTATTATTCCAAAACTGGGAGGTTCAAGAATATCGAACACAAAGAACTTGTTGAAATTTGTTGTCTTATTTCAGTATTTGCCAAGGGTTATCCGAATCTATCCATTGTATACAGAAGTTACAAGGACTTCTGGAATACTCACTGAAACTGCTTGGGCTGGAGCTGCATTTAATCTTTTTCTTTACATGCTTGCCAGTCATGTAAGTCATCTTCGTTATAATTAGGAAAGTGTTATATTTGTGCAAGTATCTTTGATTCTTATATATCAATGGTTGGTTTTGTTGTATTTTCCCTCTTTAAAATTGTCTTTTTTGTCTGCATGTGTGCTTTTACTGTTGTACTTTGTTTGAGTATATACTAAAAAGGTATCTTGTGATCTAACTACTCTGGCTTGTTTTTGGTTATTAATGGAAGCGTTATTGGGGCCTTGGGCTAGAGAAGAGTATGGATGTAGTGAAGGCCGATAGAAAGTGAAGGATAATAGAAAGAGAGGAAGATTGGATAAAAATTGGAGAGGGGCAGGGGAATTCTGTAATTTGTTATTCTATACAAAAACTGGTTTTCTTTCTTTCTTTCTTTCTTCTTCTTCTTCTTCTTCTTCTCTCTCTCTCTCTCTCTCTGTTTTTTTTTTTTTTCCTTACGCTATGCAAATCCTGATTAGTGTTGAACAATTTAGCCCTATTTAAACACATGCAAATTGTAACTGAAATAGGAAGTCCTAATAGAAATGTAATCATTACAAAATCCTAGTTAACATAATAAACCTAGATTTTATAAAGCTTATTGCATTATATTATCTTTCTTAAAATCTTTCTGATTGTCATGATGTGTTAATTTAGGTACTTGGAGCCTTCTGGTACTTGTGTTCTATAGAACGAGAAACCACATGCTGGCAAGATGCCTGTAGGCGTAATCCAATTCAATGCAACCATGATGCTTTATATTGTGATAGAGATAGTAACTTGGCAGGGGCGAAAGCATTATTGAATAATTCTTGTCCAATTCAAGGAAGTGATAATCCGCCTTTTGATTTTGGGATATTTTTAGATGCCCTTCAATCTGGAGTTGTGGAGTCAACGACTGATTTTCCACAAAAGTTCTTTTACTGTTTTTGGTGGGGCCTACGAAATTTGAGGTGTGCACTGTGCTGAAATAAGTTGTTTTTCTTTCATGTTTTAAGAGCACGCTGCAACTCTTTTTCATCGTTCATTTTCTTAGTTTTTCCTGCTTTAATAGAAAAATAACAAAGAAAAGAACGTACCCTTGTGTGGTTGGTTAATTTTCTGCCTCAAGTATAAGAAACTCTGTTGCACATTTCATTGTCACTTGTTAATGCTGAGATCAGTGCACTGATTTTCCAAATACCAGTATGTGATTATTTATGCTAGCTCTTTCTGCTCTGCAGTTCTCTGGGTCAAAACCTTGCAACTAGTACCTATGTTTGGGAAATCTGTTTTGCAGTCTTCATTTCAATCGCTGGATTGGTACTATTTTCATTCCTTATTGGGAACATGCAGGTAAGCCACTTGTTTGTTGAACCAAGTGTTGTCTACGGAAATGGGGGTTATTGTACCCATATAATTAGGTTTTGATGAAACTTAAGTTTCTTGAAACAGACATATTTGCAATCAACAACCACAAGATTGGAGGAGATGAGGGTGAAAAGGAGGGATGCAGAACAGTGGATGTCTCATCGCTTGCTCCCTGAGAATCTGAGGGAGCGTATCAGGCGGTACGAACAATACAGATGGCAAGAAACCAGGGGTGTTGATGAAGAGAATCTAATCTGTAATCTTCCAAAGGATCTCAGAAGGGATATCAAGCGCCATCTCTGCTTGGCTCTGCTGATGAGAGTGAGTTCTATGGCCTTTCTATGGTTGTTTCTTTAAAAGATTCTGCGTCTACCATATATTTGCTCTCTTGAATTTGAATGAAGTCCAGTCCTTTTCTGGATATGTTGCTTTTCCAAGGAGTTTGAGGGTTTTCCTGAAAATATGATTAAGGTAGAACGTTAATAAATGCAAATTTTGTTCACCAGTTGAGAAGATGCAAGAACTACACGTTATGTATACAGTGATCTTATAACTCATACAGAGCAATTTCTTTTGCAATAATTGTTTATAGTTTTTGAAACGTGGTTTTGAAATTAAGTTTGACAAAATATTATCGTGTTCTTCATTTAAATGCTAGCTTCGCGCTAGTTTAATTTGTTTAACAAGCTGGACAAATTTAATTCTTACCAATTTTCTTGGATGCTAGGTGCCGATGTTCGAGAAAATGGATGATCAACTGTTGGATGCAATGTGTGATCGTCTCAAGCCAGTGCTTTACACAGAGGAAAGCTATATCGTTCGTGAAGGAGACCCGGTCGACGAGATGCTCTTTATAATGAGAGGCAGGCTGCTGACAGTGACCACAAATGGTGGAAGAACTGGTTTCTTCAACTCCGAATATCTCAAGGCTGGTGATTTTTGTGGAGAAGAACTTCTTACATGGGCTCTGGATCCCCACTCCTCGTCTAACCTCCCTATATCGACAAGAACTGTGCAAGCCCTTACAGAAGTTGAAGCCTTCGCATTGAAGGCGGATGATTTGAAATTCGTAGCCTCTCAGTTCCGGAGGCTTCACAGTAAGCAGCTTCGCCACACTTTCAGGTTTTACTCACAGCAGTGGAGGACTTGGGCGGCTTGTTTTATCCAAGCAGCCTGGCGCCGTTACAGTAAGAAAAAGCTTGAGGAGTCTCTTAGGGAAGAAGAGAACAGGTTGCAAGATGCTCTGGCTAAGGCTGGTGGGAGCTCACCAAGTCTGGGTGCCACCATCTACGCCTCACGCTTTGCCGCTAATGCGCTTCGGCTTATAAGACGTAGTGGCACGCGGAAAGCGAGGGTGCCAGAGAGAATACCACCAATGCTGCTTCAGAAGCCAGCGGAGCCAGATTTCACTGCTGAAGAACATTAGGTAATATGTGACCAGCAATGTAAGCTTGATTTGTTGTGTGAAATGCAACTATTTTTAAGTCTTTTACTTATGAAGTAGTGAAGTAATATTAAGGTAGAAGTCTCTTTTGTCAAGTGTAAAAGGTCTGTATATTATTGTTGTTGTATATGTAAATATCTGATTGTTTCCTGGTGAATTTACTCAGTTGCCGCTTGCGTGAGATTAGTAAATAAGGCTAGGTTGAGTATTAGGAGCTTTTTACAGCGGGATGTTGTAGTGCATGTTTCTGAAGATCAGATTTGATAAAAATAACAATAAAACAACGAATGGCAATATTGACGTTCAAAACAAAACTCTATCAACCGAGTATTTTTTAATACCCACTTTAAAAATCTAACGAGTTTTATTCTTGTAATTTTTTTTTTTTTTTTTGAGAATTATCTTTTACTTGGCCGCACATGTTAAACTGTCTTATATTAAAACAAAAGAGTATGCATTACGGATTATTATTTTGCGGACATAACTATTCTAATCTGACTACGTTATTCTGCAAAGATTTTGTTGCATGGTTTAACGTTATGTCCTCCATCTTTGCATTCGATTCGCAAAGTTATTACAATAAAATTTATTGCTTTTTTTTATTGAGCAAATATTTTTCATGTTATTCAATTAGAAATATATTTCATATGCGATAGCGGGTGGAATATCTTTATAACACTATCGGGCGTGTTTAGAATTCGTTCTAAAATGATTTTATTTTTTATATGAAAATAAAAATGAAAACGTTTTTAATTTCAGACAAAAATTATTTTTGAAAATGCGTTTCGTAGTTGTATTAAGAGATTATTTTCAGTAGAAAAAAATACATTAATATCTCTCTCTGCTCGAGAGAGAAGAAAACAAAAACAAAATTTTTTTCATTTATCTCATTTTATACTAAACTAAAAAATTGTTTTCATTTCCGTTTTGTTTTTATTACGTCAAACGTCGTTTTGGAAACATTTTCATTTTTTTCTCTCAAAAAACGTGAAACAAAAACGGGATCAATTCTAAACACGGCCATCTTCTTCTGATATGAGATTATGCTTAACTAAAACATGGGTTGCATAATTTGCAGATCTAGAAACGAGGTTTACTAATCAGTTGGAGAAAAAAGAAAGAAGATGTTTCTATAAAGTTAAGTAGGTAGCTAACATTTGTAGCCCAAATGAGACTTTGATTTAGAAGAAACTTTCCAATGCATCTACAAGATGGAGCCGTCATAACAAAGCATTTTTAGAGGGGAGAAAGAGGAAAATATGTCAAAACTTGAGATAAATTAAAATTAATAGGCCAATAGTTTATATAAGTTAATAAATAGGTCAAATTACTGTTTTCGTCCGTAACTAGTCTGGTTATAAACCATAACTTGATAAGTTATTGTCCATAATTGTCCATAACTTGTCTGGCTATGAACCATAACTTCACAATAAGTGTGTAACATTAGTGGTTCTCGCTGTAAAATTTTTTTAAACATGTTATTGATAATTTTTGTGTAATGTAGGAGACATTGTGTATAACATAATATGCAATTTATATGATCCCTCTTATATCTTTATTAATTGACAATGTAAGATATTTTTGAAGAGAAAGATGGAATATCCGTTTCGAAATGATGTTAATTTTATCGCATTACAAATTGTTATGAGTTGTGTAAAATTTTTTGAAGATGTTTAAAATATCAAAGTAGTAAATTTTCAATGTAATATAAGTTATTCATACGATATTTAGACCCAAGTATAATGTATATGCAAGAAGTTTGATTGTGTAAGGAACACCATCCATTGATGAGCAATAAATAAAGAAACTAGAGAGATGTTATTTGAAGATTAACATGTGAAGTGTAAAATAAAGCATCTTGGTGTGGTTATGATATATTAGAATCTGATCATGCTAACCAAACTAATAAGAAAATGACTATGAAAGCATAATATTGAGATGACACAGAAAATTTAAAGATGATCAAAATCACGAAGAAGAAAATAAGGGCTTGTTACTTTGCATTTAAACTCAAACAGAAAAAGTTTGAGAGTTACAATTTTATTTAAGTTCATTTTTTTTTTTTTTTTTGTAAAATTTGAGTTTGAACTCGAGTTTAAACTCGAGTTTGGGGCTAAACTCGAGTTCAAGTTTTCTCTTCAACTCGAGTTCATAAACTCGAACTCAAGTTAATGAATAATATTTTTTCTATTCTTATAAATGCTATAACTTTTTCGTTTTAATTCTGATTGAGATGATTTTTTTTTCTATGCATTCACAACGAAAAGACGAATAAAATCTCACCTATATACCCTATTAAAATTTTTCATCTCCATTGAGTTTTTATTAAAATACTATCTAAGTATAAATTCAAGTTTTGACACACCCAAACACAAACTTAAAGATTCTCAATTCAAATTATAACTAAAATGTGCAAATCGAAACACAAACTCAAGTGTATTAACTAGACAGCGGAATATCATGTATCGTTTATTTTATAAATATATGTTTGCAGTTGAATTTAAAGATCATGGATATAGACGAAGACAAAAGCAAAACGTGCATGATTGATTAGAACTCAAATTTTAAGTATTTAACAATTTTCTTTAAAGATTAATTATGATGTCTATGTCTTCGGAGGAGCTAGGAAGTTAATTCTATGATCATTACTCGTTCTCCATGATGCACAGAGAACAACTATTATCATTCCAAAGGGAGAGACGCCAACTATTATCATAACATGACAATTTTTTAAACAATTACAATACAATAATGACAATCACATGTCACGTAAATTGGTATGAAAAAATTAGGATTAGAGTTGGTATTTCTAGCATTATTCTTCAACTAATATATTTGAAACTCGTCTTTGTTCAAAATCTCAGCTTTAATGATAATAGCCATCGAGATCTCAAGCGTTTATTATCATGTATTAAAGTGCGTAAGAAATTTCCCTTGAAAAAGAATGTGTAAGAAATTTAGGACATGACACAATCAGCAAATAATTTGGTTGCATTGCATGATGTAATTGTTATGTACCACATAAGCGAAAGAATTAGTTAAGAAGAAAATAATCAAATTGTTCTACTCTTTCAAAAAAAAAAAAAAAAAAAAAAAAGGACGAGGATTACTAAATTAAAAAAAAAAAAATGCTCCAGGATTCTATTCAGTTTACCAATATTTTAAGGAGCAAGTGTGAAAACTAATGGTCTAAAGTCGAAGCCGTTTATTTCGCTGATTTGAGTTTAGAATTTGAGTTTTGTTTCGGTAAAAGCTTTTATAAATAATCACATTTAATTTTTTTATTATAATAAAAAATTCTCATATAAAATTACATCTCAACTCAAATTAAAAATTTAAATCAGTGAACTAAGCCTTAAAACTTTTTTTTTTCTTTTTTTCCCACTTTAAAGTGAACTACTATAAAACAGAACTGCTGTACTCAACCAAACATACAGCGAACTAAGCCTTAAAACTTTTTTTTTTCTTTTTTTCCCGCTTTAAAGTGAACTACTATAAAACAGAACTGCTGTACTCAACCAAACATAAAACACCAGTTGTTGTGGAATTTATTGCCAGACATGAGATGACAATTATCTAATTATTATGATAGGAAGACTAGACGTGCTGTTCACAAGCAGAACGCAATTACTTTCCCCGTCCCTAGTCAGCTGGAAAAATTAAATTCTCGTAAAAGACAAAAGAAGAAGTAATTAAGTTTTAGTCAAGTCTTCTCTACGTACATATATAGTACACAACACAAGGCCAAAGAAGGCAAAAGAAGACTTTGTCAAGTCTTTTCCACGAGGCAATAGATTAGTGGAACGATTTTGGTGCTGATCCCTTTACTCTCCATTTTCTAGTGTTATATATATATATATATATATATCTTTCTTTCCTTCCTATACTTCTAACAATTTAGTCCAAAATTATAGCACACTTCAGTTAATTTCTCCTACACTTTTTGCTGGTGTGAGTACTAATTATAGGAAGATCAGTTATGTTGCACCGTGAACGTGATCAAGTAGGGCTTTTAACCGGCGGTATCTCACCGGCATTAGAGAGTCAAGTAGGCAGGTTAGTTTCTTGATTAATCAATTATCTTATTTTCCTTGGCAAAAAAAGAGAGAAAAAGTTTCATTATCCTAATTAAACTTATAATTTTTCCTCGCTGATATGATCTATACATATTTGTGTCTACTCAACCTAAGCTCATTAGATTTAATCACTCTAATACTAAATATTTGGACTGAAATTAATTTCTTTATCAATTACACCTGCACATATTCTTGTTCGCAGGAATCCAAACATTACTACCACTGTTCAGCGTCAACATTCAACAAAAGATGACGAACATGCAGGGAAGATGACAATATCATCAACGATGAAGAAAATTATTGATCCGAAAGGAGAGTATTCTCCAATGTTCAATAAGATATTTCTGACGTCATGGGTGATTGCAGTCATAACGGATCCATATTTCTTATACATTCCAACTCTAAACGAGGAAAAGAAGTGCCTTAGAATGGACAAGAAGTTGGCCATTGTTGCTCTTGTTTTGAGATCTACCACAGATCTCTCTTACATACTGCATATTATTTTCCAGCTTCTTGCTGGATTCATGCCCAACTCCAAGAACTGCAAGGAATGGAAAGAAAATGGTTTCCTCAAATATACTTTGGCTAGAGCTACGACATTTAATTGGTCATACTTCCTAATTGACGTCCTAGCTGTTCTTCCTATCCCACAGGTAAAATATAAAACCCGAGTCTCATATATATATATATATATATATATATAAACTTATCTTATAAGGATATTAGGACATTTCGCTTTGACTTTTTAAGATGAACTCAAACTTGTATAAAGTCTAGGCCACATTAGATTCGGAGGGACTCAAATTTTCTGTCTAATTTTAGTGTTTCAATTAGTGTATAATCAATCATATCACACCAGGTCGTGTAAAAAATTTGAATTATTTTTTAACTAATTTTTTTGTGCTTATGATGAGATGATGTGGTGTGATTTGATTAGTTGGATACTACATTAGCAATTATATGGAATGACTTGACACTAAACAAATATGGTAATTTATGCAGGTGGTAATTTTAGTATACTTTTCGAAGATACGGCCAGGGTTCAGACCATCGAGTACAAGGAAACTCTTGTTATACGCGGTTCTTCTGTTCCAATATGCGCCAAGGGTTTTCCAAATATACCTATCTTGTGAAGAACTGAAAAAGACTCACGATGCCTTCAGTAGAACTTTATGGGTTAGAGGGGCATTCAATTTGTTTCTCTACTTCATTGCTGGTCATGTAGGCATATATACTGTTTTCATTACCTCTCATCTTAATAAGAAGCTTAATATAGTACTATAGGATAACAAGTTATTCACACGATCGAGCAATTACTTTTAAAAAAATCGACTTCAAATTAATAATTTGGATTGATTTCATAAATGACTCCAGAATCTTGAATAGGATTCATTTCACCCCTATATAATGTATAAAGTGGTTGAAACCTCTTCTTGAACTAATATATTTTTTAATTAAGTTTTATAAATGCCCCTGAATTTTATATCTTATTTCAACATGCCTTTTGAATTGTCAACACCCTTTGAACTATTAATTTTGTGTCAACTTTCCAAAATCAGGGGGTAAGTTGATAAAAAATTATTAATTCAGGAAAAAAATTGACTTAAAATCAATCCTTGATCATTAGTATTTATAAAATTATTATTTCCACTCTTTTTCTTTTTTTTCCTCGTCTAGGTACTTGGAGCATTTTGGTACCTCTTTTCCATTGAACAAGAGACAACGTGCTGGCAATATGCATGTAAAAAGCAAGTTGGATGTCTTCCAAGTGTCTTTAACAGCTGCAACGACAATCCTCCGAGGAATTTGACATTTGTGAATGACTTTTGCCCTATAAATCCACCTAACTCCACGGTATTCGACTTTGGAATATTCCTTGGAGCCATGCAATCTGGTATTGTTACCTCGTCAGATTTTCCTAAAAAGTTGCTACAATGTTTTTGGTGGGGGCTGCGGAATCTGAGGTGTGGACAAATACAAATATACATAGCACCTTAATTTACAAATAAATCATTTTGATGTGTTAATCTTTATTGCTATAATTAGATTAAAGACAATGAGTTCTATCATCGTGATACAAAAAGTCCGAAGTTACATCAACATAAGAACACGAGTTCTTTATAATTGGTTCAATGAACGATATAAGTACATTATAAGTTTTAGATATTGAAAATTATATATTGTACATAAATTTTATTATTATGTGTTTAATGCCTTGCTTTTAATAATGGTATCTTTTGCTTAATTTGCAATTGCTCGATCCGATGTATATTTTTGCAGTTCTTTTGGTTCAAACCTGGAAGCAAGTTCCACTGCCTGGGAATCCTCCTTTGCATCTCTCATTTGTGTTCTCGGCTTGCTTATATTTTTATATCTTATTGGAAATCTGCAGGTCAGTGTGGAAATTAATTATCATATTATTCAAGCTTTAAATCTCTCTTAATAGTTCAAACGTAATTGCGCAATCCAACTCTCTTAATAGTTCAAACCCCTGTAATTGCGCAAATCATAACATTTAAGTAGTCGCATGTTGCGCTACATGCATGAGTTTTACTGAGAGCTTAAATTTTTGTGGACTGCAGTTATATATGCAGTTATCAACTCAGAGATCAGAAAATAGAAGACACAATAGGAAAGAGGAGATTCAAAAGATACTAAAAGCGAGAGAACCTGACATAGACCTCTGGGCGTCCATCCATAAGCTTCGTGAGCCCGAAGAAGTAAAGACGGTGATCATGGCATATATGCAAGAATTATTGGAACATGAAAAGGATCTTAATTTCAAGAAACTGCAAAAGAAACTGCATCCGTATCTTCTCCAAGCTAATCAACAAAAGCAAGAAAATGCCCACCCTTCGAGGCAAAAAGAAAGCGACCTTTGTGCCATGCATGACCTACAAATAGTAAGCTTCTAATTTTATCACGATGTCCTGGTTAGCTAGTATTCTTTTGATGAATTTGGATAAGCTAATTCATTAGTTATATTGGTTGTGTAATAGATATATTTGAAGTTGGAAGATATAATATCAGGGGTGAAAAAACACCAATGGAATAAGACCGAAGAAACTGCAGAACTATGGATGTTGAAAAACGGCATCCCTAAACATATCATTCCCATGATCAAGAAATATGTACAACACAGATTACAAAATAATAATGATGATGTTGATGTTGATATGGTGAATCTGTTCTCAATTCTTCCCATCGAACTTCAGAGGACTATCAAGCAACACCTCTGCCTCAGCCTGCAGATCCTGAAGAAGGCAAGTTCTTCAACCACTCTACCTTTACCAAATAGAACATAATATGAATTTGCTGGTAGAATATTATATTATTATTAGCACACCTTCTAATAGCATATGTTTTAAAATGAATTGGCAACTAGCATTGTATTAGAGCATATCTGTAACTGCAATTTTGTAACTTGTCACGTGTGAGCCTATTATCTCCTTTGTATTTGCATTCTCCCTCTCCTTATAGGTTCATAAGTGAAGGAGAAGTGTTAGAATATAATATTATTATTGTCCTATCTCGTAACAACTTAAGTAAGGAATTTTTAATATCTAATTGAAAAACTGGTAATGATTACTAATATCATCTTTGTCTTTATTAATTTTATGCTCTTTCTCTTATAAATTAAGTAGGTATATAGTACTTCCCATAAATTAGTTTTGCTTCATAGATTTTATTCTATTGTGTATATATATGTAAGCCAGGTACCGGAGCTTCAAAATGTGGATGAGGAAGTGCATGGAGAGATCATAAAACTTCTGAAGCCCGTGGTCTATGCGGAGAACAGCTACATAATACGAGAAGGAGAGCCGATTAGTCACATGCTTTTTGTCACACAAGGCCTTGTGTGGGTCTTTGGCAATGGTTCAATCATGAAGATCGTAGCGAAAGGCGATTATTACGGAGAACAACTTCTGGAGTGGCAGTTGAGCTCAGCCTCCTATACCGAGGTGCCGATCTCGACCAAAAATGTCCAGTCCCACACCAATGTCGAAGCCTTGACACTCAAGGCAGTGGATCTGAAGCACATACTCACGAAGTACTGGTGGAAATTCCCAATCGCTAAGCAATATGAGGCCGAGCTTCTGAAGCGATTTGCCATCAGCGCAATCAGAGAAGCTTGGTTGCGCTGCCGACGCAGAAGGCAAAAAGATCCGTCGCATAAGTGGCCAATCGTCAACCGGAAAATCAGAAGTGTCACCGCATGGATGCCATCGTGATATTGAAATAATGTTTCTAGGTAGGACTCTTTTCTGTTTAAAATCTCTGCTTTAGTAACCATTTGAGATATCTCAAGCGTTTACTAATTACTATCATGTATTAAAGTAAGACATTTTAGGGCACGGCACAATCAGCATATAATTTTGTTGTATAATATGACGACTAGATTTTTTAATTACTGGACACATTTTGATGTGATTAATATTAAGGATGTTTTTAGCTACTGTGCCTCCAAATATTTTTGGTGTTTATTTGTACTTTCTTAAAAGTTTCCTTTACATAGTCGATAAATTACAAAAACAAAAACAAACTATAACTCTTGTCATTTGACGGGCTTAAGAGGAACTACTAGGTGCAATTTAAGGACTAAATTTCCATTAAAATTATTTTTGTTCCAAGAAAAATAAAATTCTTAATAAGCTTCTTCCTTAATCCTTTACAAACCAGCATGCATGTGACTTCGTGATGGTAATAAAATTTCTTAAATGAACTTGTGCCTGTATTACCCCTCTGGGATTGACTTGGTAACTAAATTAGATGTGTGTTAACATAAAATTAATCTCCTTTTATTGATGAGCATATAAAAAAAAAAAAAAAAAAAAACTACATGTACAGATTTATTCATGCAAATATTGTACCTTTGGATTCTCTTAATTTCTTAGCCACGCTTACGTCCAAGCAAAACTCGTCAGCAAAAAGGAAATATCGTGAACAAAAAAAACCCACGAGTTCTCTGATCATCAGTAACTTGTTAATTAGGCTCGAATTTCAAGGCATTCTAAAGCCCAGTTTTCATATGGTACCCGAGGCTGTTCAACCAAAAACCCGAATATTTCCACAAGAATAAGACTGGGGTCCATCTTAGATGGCAATATGGCATTGAGGTGTCAGCTAAAGTGGCTGCTGATTTGGGTCATCTTACACACATGACAATGAAATTAGCTTCTTGGTAGTCTTATAATAATTGAGACGGCCATGAAAGGATACGAGTCACTTATCTTATAGGCTGTTTATGTACAATATTGTTTCTTTCATTCTAGATCGACCAAATCAAGCATATAAAGAATTCAAAGCTCTCCTTATTGTAAATTTCTTCAACACAATGGACAAGATCAATAAAAGACATTTGAATTCTTCCAATGCTAAAGTGATAAACCAATAACATCACAAACTGGTGCAAAAAATCTATGCTGAGTGCCCGTACTTAAAAAGGAAAATAGGCAGCGGAATATCATGTGCGTTTATTATATATATATATATATATATATGTATATAGACTAGCTTTCATTGGAGACTATATATATAGACGAAGACTAAAAGCAAGATGTGCATGATTGATCGGTACTCAAATTTTATGGACTAGTAGTTTAGTATTCAACAATTTTCTTTGAAGACTAATTGTGGTGTCTATGTCTTCGGAGGAGCTACGAAGTTTCTATATGATCATTACTCGTTCTCCATGATGCATGTGAACATGTGATCAATCTCATAAATATTTAAGGGAGGAAGAGGGAAATAGGCTAAGACTTGAGATGAATTAAAATTAATAGGTCAATAGTTTACATAAGTTAATAAATAGACTAAATTACTGTTTTTGTCCATAACTTGTCTGGTTATGAACCATATCTTGACAAGTTATTGTCCATAATTCACGGTTTTTGTCCATAACTTGTATGGTTATGAACCATAACCTGACAAGTTTATTCATAACTTATCTGGTTATGAACCATAACTTGACAAGTTATAACCTATTAATTTTTATAACTAAAAATTGGCCTATATACTTTTTTAAGCTTTTTATATTGGCATATTTTCTACGATTTCACAATATTTAATTACGCCTACGTATGTAGCTTGAAGGAATCTTCTAATTGATAAAAGAATTAAATTCTTATAGTATGAACACGGTAAAATAACAATTAATGAAAGTCTTTCGATACCTAATCAAAATATACGTATCTTTTTTCAGCAAAAAAAAAAAAAAAAAAAAAAAAAAAAGAAGAAGAAGATACAGATATAGCTTTGGTTTGGATGCCATTGGTCTAGGATTCATTAGCAAGAAGAAACGTGCGTGAATACGCCAGTCAAATTAGCCAAAAAAAAAAAAAAAAACGAATAATCCAGTCAAAAAATAAAAAAGTACGTGAATACTGTTATGGAATATATTCGATTTAATTATAAATTAGCATTGACTGCGAGGCATCTGCTTATATTTATGGAGCCACGCTACTCTCGTGCAGAGTTTATTAGTCTTAAACAAGATAACATCGGAATTAAGTTGGCTGATTAACTATTGGTGGGAACATTTTAAGGTCATATAGTCCAAATTTATTAATTGCAGCTGTTACACATTACAATAATATTGGATTCAAATCACCTGTCTAATTTGTGTGGAATTATTCAGTGTACTCCAAATAGTATTTAACTAATCATATTATGACACATAATTTAATGAACTTAAACATTAATGTGTTAAACATTTTTAAATGACGTGATAATAATCTGATTAATTAGACATTATTTTAAGACGTCAAAATTGAATAAGTGATTTGGTTAACATAACGTTATACGAGGTTTTTCCAATTATTAATCATTAAAATTATGATTAACTGGGTTACACTATCTTTGATCGTGCTATATTTAATTCTTGCTTCTATTCTACCTAGTTTTACCAGTCCTTAGTACTGAATTAGTGTGAATACAACATATTTTTCTTCCAGTGTTCCTAATTATAAGAGCTGTAGCTGCGCTGTTACCGGATTTGAATTGATTTTATTCTAATTTGTTAACATTAGTTATATACGGCAAACTTGGGATCACGCTAATTAAGTTCCATACAAAATTTAAGTCTTCCAGAATTAATTAATCTCTAAGTTTAATTGGACCAACTTTGCTCTGTCGGATTTTTAATTATGAGAATTGATTTCCGCTACACTACTACTTGTTTTTCCATAGATATATTAATTGGTTGAAACTTGGTGCCCAACCCAGTTTCCTTTACAGTCTTAATATTTCATTTGTCAAATCTTTCGATCGATTTGCATTGTTAATCGCATTTCTTGGCAGGTATTTATATACTCTAGTATTCTTTCTAGTTGCTCATAATATGAAACCTCAATTAATATATAATTCTCTCACAGCCATACCTTTGTTCCGGTTGATATTGATGTTAAACCTTCTCTTTACTCTTATTCTTTCGCTTAATTGTCTTCTTTTTGCAGGAGTTATAGTACTGATTGGAACAGTTATGTACCGCCGTGAACGTGAAGTAGTGCCTTTAGCCGGCGGTATCACGTCGCAAGAATTGGAGATTCAAGTAGTGAGGTTAGTTTTTCTTGTTAACAAAAGAAAAAAAAAAGTTTCTTTTTACTGAGTAAAAATCTATACATATTTGTGTCCGCTCTACCTAATTCATCATACTATCTAATTTACCAGAGTCATTGACATTAATTTCTTTTATCAATTATTTTGCATCTTAATTCTTGATCAAAGGAATCCAAAAATAAGTACTGCTGATGAGAGGCAACATTCTAAAAGAGATGATGAGCTTGCACAGAGGAATATTACAAGGACAAAATTATCAATAATGAAGGAAATTCTTGATCTACGAGGAGCGTATCTTCAAACGTTGAACAAGATATTTCTAACGTCATGGGTGATTGCAGTCATAACAGATCCATTTTTCTTGTACATTCCAACTCTAAACGAGGAAAAGAAGTGCCTTAGAATGGACAAGAATTTGGAGATTGTAGCTCTTGTTTTGAGATCTATCACGGATCTCTCTTACATACTGCATATTGTTTTCCAGCTTCTTGTTGGATTCCTGCCCAGGAACTCTGGGGAATGGGAAGAAAATGGTTTCCTCAAGTATGCTTTGGCAAGAGCTAGGAGATTTAAATGGTCATACATCTTAATTGACGTTCTAGCTGTTCTTCCTGTCCCACAGGTAAAAGATATAAAGGATAAAATAAGAAACTCGAATCCTACATCATTTAAATCAATATTTATATATAATTATAGACTTATAAAAACATAGTTAAGACACTTCACTTAACACGTTGACCTATTAACATGAACTCAAACTTCTAAAGAGCTTAGGTCGTATTTGGTTCAAAACATAAATAACATTTTAAATCTTTTTGTTACAGTATTTACTCTCATAAAAATTTGATTTTCTGTTTAGATCTATAAACCAAACTAGGCTCTAATATTCATAAATAAAAGGATTATTATCACTGATACCCCTGAACTTTAGGGTCATTCTCAGTCTGCCATCTGAACTTTAAAAACTCTCATTTTCCCTTTATTTTGAATTGTTCTCACTTAACCCATTCTGTTGTAATTTCTGTTAAAAACATATATAAAAAAAGAGAATAACACAGTCACATGATCTTTCTATTTAGATTTCTATTGAAAAAAAAAAGATAAAAACTACACGATCACACTTAATCTCTTCTTTTTCCGTCTGATTTTAACAAAAATTACAACAAAAGGGGTTAAGTGAGAACAATTCAAAGTTTGGAGAATAAAGTTAGAGTTTTTAAAGTTTAGGGGGTAAATTAAAAATGACCCTAAAGTTCAGTGGACACCAATGAGAATAACCCTAAATAAAAAGCTAGTGAGTTTTCTAAAAGTGTTTTTTTTTCCCCTCAAAGTCGAACGAGCTAGACAAAGTATAAGTTTCATTAGTTGAAAAGTTTGAGTCTTCTTCCAGCTAGCTAGTTGGACTTTGACCAATTAGTTGTATCACTACTAAACTATATACTTTATCATCTTCTCTATCTAGCAATGGCAATTATATGGAACGACTTGACACTAAACAAATATGGTAATTTATGCAGGTGGTAATTTTAGTTTACTTTTCTGAGATAAGGCAAGGCTTAAGACCATCGAGTGCAAGGAAGCTCTTGTGTTACATCATTCTTCTATTCCAATATGCACCAAGGGTTCTTCAAATATACCTAGCTTGTGAAGCACTTAAAAAGACTCGCGATGCATTCAGTGAAATTATATGGGTTAGAGGGGCATTCAATTTGTTTCTCTACATCATTGCTAGTCATGTAAGAATATATACTGTTTTCATTAACTCTCATCTTAATTAGAAGCCTAATATAGTATATAAGATAGCAAGTTATTCACAAGAGCAACTACATCTATATAATCCACTTCATATTAATAATTTGGATTAATTTTAGAAATACTACCCTAATTCAACATGCCCATTCAATTTTGAAAAGAATTCATTTTATCCCTAAAATATGTAAAATGGTTTAAAAGAGCCCCTGAACTAATGGAATATCATAAATACTCCCGAATTATTGTGCTTGTGACAACTTGCATATTGACCCTGATCTTTTAAAAAATCGGGTGGTAAGTTGACACAAAATCAATGAATCAGGAGCAAGTTGACTTAAAGTATCAATAGTTCAGGAGGTGTTTATAAAATCAATCCTCATAATTTTTAATTATTATTTCCACTCTAATCTTTTTTTTTTAAAGTTTTCTTTTTTGTTTCCTCGTCTAGATACTAGGAGCATTTTGGTACTTCTTTTCCATTGAACAAGAGATGGCGTGCTGGCAAAATGCGTGCAAAAATCAAATTGGATGTCTTCCTAGTGTCTTTAACAGCTGCAACGACAATACTCCGAGGAATTTGACATTTGTGAATGATTTTTGCCCTATGAATCCACCTAACTCGACGGTCTTTGACTTTGGAATATTTCTCGGAGCCATTCAATCTGGTATTATTACCTCGTCAGATTTTCCTAGTAAGTTGCTGCAATGTTTTTGGTGGGGCCTGCGTAATCTGAGGTGTGTACATACATCTATATTTATAGGACCTTAATTTACAAAAAATGCTTTTGACGTGTTTCTCTTTATTGGAATAAAGATTAAAGACCATAAGTTCTATTTTCTTGAAATAAAAATTCCAAAGTTACATTAATCAACTGAAGATATAAGAACACAAGCACTGTCATTGGTTCTACATATGATATACATAAATTTAGATTTTCATACTATTATATAGTGTTATGAATCTTTTAGCTATAGTAATACATAAAGTTTCTTACGTGTTTAATATTTTGGCCTTTAATAATGGTATTCGTGCTCAATTTGATCGATCCAATATCTTGCAGTTCTTTTGGTTCAAACCTGGAAGCAAGTTCCACTGCATGGGAAACCTGCTTTGCAGCTCTCATTTCCATGCTCGGCTTGCTTATATTTTTGTATCTTATTGGAAATCTGCAGGTTAGTGCAGTAGTTTAATCTTTTAATCAATTATCATTATATTGAAGCATTAGACCTCTTAATAGTGCTAACCCTAAAAAATGTAGTCACGTTTTGGGCTATAAGAGTTTTACTGAGAACTTAAAACTTTTGCGGATTGCAGTTATATATGCAGTTATCAACTCAGAGATCAGAAGATAGAAGACACAAGAGGAAAGATGAGATTCAAAAGATAGTAAAAGCAAGAGAACCTGACATAGATCTCTGGGCGTCCATCCATAAGCTTCGTGAGCCCGAAGAAGTAAAGACGGCGATCATGGCATATATGCAAGAATTTCTGGAACATGAAAAGTATCTTAATTTCAAGAAACTGCAAAAGAAGCTGTACCCGTATTTTCTCCAAGCTGAACATCAACCAAAGCTAGAAAATGGCCATGGCCACCTTTCAACGCAAAAGGAAAACGACGACCATTGTGCCATGTGTGACCTACAAATAGTAAGCTTCTAATTTTTTCATGATGTCCTAGTTAGCTAGTATTCTTTTGACGAATTCAGATGGGCTAATTCATTAATTAAATTTGTTGTGTAATAGATATATTTGAAGTTGAAAGATATAATTTCAGGGGAGACAAAACACCTGTGGAATAAGACCGAAGAAACTGCAGAACTATGGATGTTGAAAAACGGCATCCCTAAACATATCATTCCCATGATCAAGAAATGTGTACGACACAGATTACAAAATAATAATGATGATGTTGATATGGTGAATCTGTTCTCAATTCTTCCTATCGAACTTCAAAGGACTATCAAGCAACGCCTTTGCCTGAATATCCTGAAGAGGGCAAGTTCTTGAAACATTATTTTTATTTTATGCTTTTTGCTTATAATTAAGTAGGTATAGTACTTGAAATGAGTTAGTTCAGTAATTAGTTTTACTCTGTTGATTTTAGTCTATTATTGTGTATATGTAAGCCAGGTACCGGAGCTTCAAAATGTGGATGAGGAAGTGCATGGAGAGATCATTAAACATCTGAAGCCCGTGATCTATGCCGAGAACAGCTACATAATACGAGAAGGAGAGCCGATTAGTCACATGCTTTTTGTCACACAAGGCCTTGTGTGGGTCTTTGGCAATGGTTCAATCATGAAGATCGTAGCGAAAGGCGATTATTACGGAGAACAACTTCTGGAGTGGCAGTTGAGCTCAGCCTCCTATACCGAGGTGCCGATCTCCACCAAAAATGTCCAGTCCCACACCAATGTCGAAGCCTTGACACTCAAGGCAGTGGACCTGAAGCTCATACTCACGAAGTACTGGTGGAAATTCCCAATCGCTAAGCAATATAAGGCCGAGCTTCTGAAGCGATTTGCCGTCAGCGCAATCGGAGAAGCATGGTTGCGCTGCCGACGCAGAAGGCAAAAACTTCCGTCGCATAAGTGGCCAATCGTCAACCGGAAAATTAGAGGTGTCACCGCATGGATGCCATCGTGATATTGAAATAATGTTTCTAGGTAGGACTCTTTTCTGTTTAAAATCTCTGCTTTAGTAACCATTTGAGATATCTCAAGCGTTTACTAATTACTATCACGTATTAAAGTAAGACATTTTAGGGCATGGCACAATCAGCATATAATTTTGTTGTATAATATGACGACTAGAATTTTTAATTACTGGACACATAATGCTAGTGTGTTTTGCTTACGTTTGATGAGATTAATACTAAGGATGTTTTTAGCTATTGTGCCTCCAAATATTTTTGGTGTTTATTTGTACTTTCTTAAAAGTTTCCTTTACATAGTCGATAAATTACAAAAACAAAAACAAACTATAACTCTTGTAATTTGAAGGACTTAAATTTTGAGGAACTACTAGGTGCAATTTAAGGACTAAAATTTTATTAAAATTATTTTCTTTTGCCAAGAAAAATTAAATTCTTAATAAACTTCTTCCTTAATCCTTTACCAACCAGCATGCATGTGACTTCGTGATGGTAACAAAAATTCTTGACTGAACTTTTGCCTGTATTACCCCCCTCTGAGATTGGCTTGACAGTTAATGAAGTATAACTAGGTAACTAAATTAGATGTGTAACATATTCTGAGCCCATTTAATTCGCTGATTTGATGTTGAGATGTGACTTTATATGAGAACTTTTTACTGTAGTAAAAAAGTTAGATGTGACTGTTTTTTAGAGTTTTTTAGTATTGTAACAAAGCTTAAATTATAAACTCGAATCGGTGAAATGAATGGGGCATGTATTAATTTCTTAGCCACGCTTACGTCCAAGGCTCCAAGCAAACATGTCAGCTAAAAGAAATATCTTGAACATAAAACCTAGGCTCGAATTTTAAGACATTCTAAGGTCCTGTTTTCATATGTTACACCGAGTCCATTCTACCATGATCCGAATATTTCCACAAGAATAAAACTGGTCCATCCTACATGGCAATATGGCATTGAGGTGTCAGCTAAAGTGGCTGCTGATTGGGGGTATTTTGGAAGTCATTCTTAGGCCTCATTAAGTTTTCTTCGTTGATTTGAGTTTTCAATTCAAACTGAGATGTGACTTTATGTGATAACTTTTAACTGGAGCAAAAAAAAAAATTAAATGTGACTTTTTATAAGAACTTTTAACTATAATAAAATTAAACATCTGAAGCCCGTGATCTATGCCGAGAACAGCTACATAATACGAGAAGGAGAGCCGATTAGTCACATGCTTTTTGTCACACAAGGCCTTGTGTGGGTCTTTGGCAATGGTTCAATCATGAAGATCGTAGCGAAAGGCGATTATTACGGAGAACAACTTCTGGAGTGGCAGTTGAGCTCAGCCTCCTATACCGAGGTGCCGATCTCCACCAAAAATGTCCAGTCCCACACCAATGTCGAAGCCTTGACACTCAAGGCAGTGGACCTGAAGCTCATACTCACGAAGTACTGGTGGAAATTCCCAATCGCTAAGCAATATAAGGCCGAGCTTCTGAAGCGATTTGCCGTCAGCGCAATCGGAGAAGCATGGTTGCGCTGCCGACGCAGAAGGCAAAAACTTCCGTCGCATAAGTGGCCAATCGTCAACCGGAAAATTAGAGGTGTCACCGCATGGATGCCATCGTGATATTGAAATAATGTATCTAGCTAGGACTCTTTTCTGTTTAAAATCCCTGCTTTAGTAGCCATTTCAGATATCTCAAGCGTTTACTAATTACTATCACGTATTAAAGTAAGACATTTTAGGGCATGGCACAATCAGCATATAATTTTGTTGTATAATATGACGACTAGAATTTTTAATTACTGGACACATAATGCTAGTGTGTTTTGCTTACGTTTGATGAGATTAATACTAAGGATGTTTTTAGCTATTGTGCCTCCAAATATTTTTGGTGTTTATTTGTACTTTCTTAAAAGTTTCCTTTACATAGTCGATAAATTACAAAAACGAAAACAAACTATAACTCTTGTAATTTGAAGGGCTTAAATTTTGAGGAACTACTAGGTGCAATTTAAGGACTAAAATTTTATTAAAATTACTTTTTTTTTCCAAGAAAAATTAAATTCTTAATAAACTTCTTCCTTAATCCTTTACCAACCAGCATGCATGTGACTTCGTGATGGTAACAAAAATTCTTGACTGAACTTTTGCCTGTATTACCCCCCTCTGAGATTGGCTTGACAGTTAATGAAGTATAACTAGGTAACTAAATTAGATGTGTAACATATTCTGAGCCCATTTAATTCGCTGATTTGATGTTGAGATGTGACTTTATATGAGAACTTTTTACTGTAACAAAAAAGTTAGATGTGACTGTTTTTTAAAGTTTTTTACTGTAACAAAACTCGAATTCTAAACTCAAATCGGTGAAATGAACGAGACATCTATTAATTTCTTAGCCACGCTTACGTCCAAGCAAACATGTCAGCTAAAAGAAATATCTTGAACATAAAACCTAGGCTCGAATTTTAAGACATTCTAAGGTCCTGTTTTCATATGTTACACCGAGTCCATTCTACCATGATCCGAATATTTCCACAAGAATAAAACTGGTCCATCCTACATGGCAATATGGCATTGAGGTGTCAGCTAAAGTGGCTGCTGATTGGGGGTATTTTGGAAGTCATTCTTAGGCCTCATTAAGTTTTCTTCGTTGATTTGAGTTTTCAATTCAAATTGATATGTGATTTTATGTGATAACTTTTAACTGGAGCAGAAAAAAAATTAAATGTGACTTTTTATAAGAACTTTTAACTATAATAAAATTAAAATTAAAAACTCAAATATGTAAAATAAACGAGACCTTATTTTAAAAACAGCTCTAAGTTTTTTTAAAAAAAAAAAAAAACAAGCAATTTATAGCTTGTAGGGTCCACTAAATAAAAAAGACTTTTACAGTCATCTATTCTTTCTCTCTCCCTTACTCCTTCTCTCGTCTTTTCTCTCCTTCAACTCCATGTTTCTCTTTCTCTTGCTTTTTCTATTTCTCTCATTTTCTACTCTTCAACCTTACTGTAAGTTTGCTTCCAGCAACTATGCCTTGACTTCGTCACAGAGAGAAAACTGATGCAGAAGGGGAGGAGAAAGAGGAAAGTATAACAGAAACTCCCTTTTTATTTTTTTTATTTTTGGAAAAATATGCAAGGTCCCGGTCCACATTAGCATCCACGTCAAGTGGTGAGGGTAACAGTTACCGGTATTTTGGGTATGTTAATTTTACAACTCAAGTTAAGAATTTAATTGTGAATGTAAAAGAAAAATATTATAATAAAAAAATTAAATTTAAATTTTTATAAAAAAAATATTGTAATAATAAAAATTAAATTATGACTAAATAAATAACGCTTTTATTCTTTCCACAATAATTATTGTCTTCAATAATTGTTCACACTTTGATGCTTTTTACTTTAATAAAGCTTTTTATCTTCTGTATGTTCTTTGGACTTAGATTAGAGCTATGTGAGATGACGAGTTGGATTTGGCTCAATATTTCAAAAACAACTGGAAAAGCAAGAATAATAAAAGGAGAGTATTAGTATTTACAAAAAAAATAATAAAATTTTTTCACACACTGATAAATTAGAAAAAATTAAGAATTTGTAAAATATATGATCATGATATAAAATAATGAACATTGATGGAAATTAGGGAGCAATTTATGCAAATTCTTGAAATATAGAAGTTACATTTATATTTTACAAAAGGAGTGGGGGCATCTAACAGGCAACAGGGTAAAGATTTATAACTATGCATTTGTTCTATTTTGTAAGGATTAATTACAAAAATTTCTCTTGAACTATACCTCTTATAACACTTTGCCCCACAATCTTTAAAACATAACATATGTTCCCCTTGAACAATGAAATGTTAATAAAAAAAAGTCTCATCCGTTATGTTTTTTTTTTTAACCGAAATTGATATTTAATTTGTTATTTTGGGTATTTTAATAGCTCTATGGTTTAGAATTTAGTTTGAAATTAAAACTAATTTAAATTTAAACTTTTAATTATGATACATATATTATTGGTTGAATGTAAGTTAACAATTTTATGAATCTTTTTTGATAGAATAAAAAAATTTATGAGTTTTTTGGTAGAATAAAAAAAATTTATGATATTTTTTTTGAATATTTAAGTTAGTTTAAATACATATTAAATTTTAAACTATAGAATTATCAAAATACCTTCAAAATAGAAAACTAAATGTCAATTTATATTAAAAACCTAACGGATACGTCTCTTTTGTTAATATTTCATTGTTAAGAAAGAACGAATGTTACGTTTTAAAAATCACGTGACAAAATGTTACAATAGGTATAATTTAGAGATAATTTTTATAATTAATCTATTTTATAAATATCAAAAAAGTGGGTGGGGGCATGTGCTCCACTAGGCTCTTCATGGGGTCCGTCATTAGAAAAGAAGAAGGAAAGAAGTTGGTGAATGAAAATCAGATGGAGAATGATAGTTTGTTTGGTAAGAAGGAAAAGAAAGGGAGAAATGCAAAACATAGTGGGGTCCACTAATTTTAGTCTTTTCAATGTTGGGTGGATTTTTAATCGAAAAACTTGAAATCAAACAATGATAAGTAAACTTGAAATCAACTTGTAATACCCGAGATTTAATTAAGCCTTTAGCCAATAATAAATAAATTTAGTAAATTAAAATCATGCATCACATTTACCATTTACCTAAAAGTTATTTGTTGGCATTATATTTTATTATTATAGCTATCATATGATTTTATTAAACTTATAGCTTTGCTAATCGAGTTTTCAGTTTTAATGTGCAGTGCAACTAGCTCGATGTGGGAACTCAATGTCCTAAACTTATGAAGAAACATGATATTTATTATGATTATTTGATATGATATTTTACCTCTATTATGATTGATTTAATGATGAATCATTATTTTATATTTTTATTATATGGTTTTATGTAAATGTGTTGAGGACTTAGTTGTTATTTTGAGTTTTTGGTGAGAGAAGTCTATGTTAGCAAATTGAGTGAACTTTAGGCACCTAATTGAAGAAGAAAAATAGAGACTTTAAAGCTAATTTTATGAGGTTATGATAGCTATTAAAGGCTTAGAAAAACCTAGGCACTTGTTCTATTATAAGGCCACTTTACTTTTGTTTAGTTTCTATCAAGTTTAGGCTTCCTTTTTAGGTCTATTTCAGCAAAAAACCCTAGAACTCCGACCATAGCACTTTCTTCTCTCTTCTCACTCCTTTTCTCACCCAAAACTCAGAATCATTTGAATCACTTTAAGAGAGAAAGAGCTAAAGACTCAACCAGCCCATCTTAACTCGTTTTAAACCTAGAACCAAAAATAATCACCAAGTTTTGAGCTTCTATTCACTTGGGAACACGTTTTTCTTTGAGGTAACTTCTTTCTTATGTTAGGAACTAAGATTTCAGAGATTAAGATGTTGAAATCCAACTTGAGAGTCGGATTTTTGACGGGGTTTGGGTTTATCATGCATGTTGGTTGTACACTCTTAAAAATGAGTTTCTTGAGGTTTTGGTTCAAATATTGGTTTCTGGGTGAAATTGATGATTTTAGCTTGATATTATTGATGATTATTTGAAGATAAACTCTTATTAAGATGATGATTCATGTATTTGAGAGTGGTCTTTGAAGATTAAGATCTGCATGCTAGGTATTTGATGAAATGTTTAAATATAAGTCCTCTGTACAGCCTATGTAGATTCTGTTTTTGTGCTATATATACTTATGATTTTGACAGATCTTATATTTTTATATTAAATTATACATCTCAAGCTTTACGTGAGTTTTTGAATCACTCCAAACGGATTTTTCTACATTTAGTTATGAATTTTATAAGTTCAGTTCAAAAGCTTTCATTTTCCTGACGAGATTATACTTCAATCTGAATTTCGGGCTATTTTTGGTTAGTTTGAAAAATCCGAAACCTATCATGTAGTAGCTCTAAAAAGAGCGTTTTGAGTTTACTTTTATTTGCCACTAGTCTCATAATATTTTGAGTTTTGATGAATTTGTTATGAATATTTTCGTAATATTGCGCAGTTATGTGTTTTGTTAAATGATTATATGAATGTAATTTTTGAAAGCTATGATTTTTAAAGGTTAATTAGCATATTGAAGGCTCCCCACAACTAGCTAGTTTGTGCTTGCAAAGTGGTGATCAAAATTCAGGTAAGTAGAGTTAAAAGCATTTCAAAACTGCATTACAACACCCTAATATGATTATGTTCAAAGAGTATTCATGATTAATTATTTTGAAAGAGATTATGATATTTGCTTATTATGTTTCTATGCTTTAAGAGATTTTATGGTATGGTATATGGATGAGAGGCTAGGTAAGCAGGGGTGCGAAGGACCGGTACCCCAAATTAGAGAAACTGTCTCTTTGAGACAACTAGAGAAAAATGCTAGTAGGAAGTCTCTTGTTGATCACAAGAGAAAGAGATTCTAAAAACCCCGCTTAGTGTTTAAGAGAAGAGAATTGATGAAAAGTAAAGAAGGTCCTATATAGAGAGGCTTACTTGGAACCGAAGTTCTGTATCATACCTAAACTAAGAATAAGTATGAAAGTTTATGAACTAATGTTTAACAAAGAGATTTTAGCCACGAAGATT